CTGGCCTGCCCCTTTCTGCCTTCTCTCCACACCACTCCACGCCCCCTCCTCAAGCCCCACTGTGGTGACAGCAAGAAAATGCCCATTATCTGAAAGTTAGGTTGGCTGCCCAGTCTCAACACTCTGAGCACGGAGCTCATGGCAGGAGGACACAAGAGGCCCAGCAGATGGTGGGGGCCTCTCTGGGATCAGCCACAAAGGTCACCATCTGTCACTGCCTGCCCGCTCCAGCCTCTTCTGCATCAGTGGAGTCTCTCCTGCTGACTTAGGGCCCAGGTACAAGCTGCGCGATGACATTTCCTGTGGGCTGACTGTGTGCCAGGCACCATGCTAGGCCTTTCCCAGGCATTAACTCTTAATTCCTACACCTAGTTTATGAGGTTGGGACTATTACCATCTCCATTTTATAAATGAGGAAACTAAGGCAAAGGGCAGTTAAGCAACTTTTCCAGGTGGTCAGACCCCAGGCTGTCTACCATTCTGTGTTGCCTCCCCTTTTCTGAGCCTCCGTTTTCTCCACTGCAAAATGAATAAGGGGCTGAATGAAATTATTTCTGGGTCCCTCTGAGCCCTTGGGAACTCTGGTGGTGTAGTGCCTAAGGCATTTGACTGCTAACCAGAAGGTTGGTGGTTCAAACCCACCAGCCACTCCTCAGAAGGAAGATTGGGCAATCAACTTCTATAGTGGTAACGTCTCAGAAACCCAAGGAGGGGTCACTACGAGTCAGATCTGACTCGACGGCAGTGAGTTTGGTTTGGTTTTCTGAGCCCTTACTGGCCCAGGATTTGGAAACTGCTTCCTTTCCATGCCCTACTGTATACTCTTTCTGTCCCCCTCAATAATGGCTGCTCTCACACAACAAGGAAAAGATCTTGTTGGCTTATTCACACTATGGTATACATGACTGATATGGAAAGTGGGGGTGAGATAACTCTAGGATTCAAGGATTCAAGCCCAGGCCTAACTGACTCTAGAACTAGGGCACTGTATAGGCCATACCCTCTGGGTTTGGGATCCCCATCCAGAAGGTTTCCTACACAACCATCAACATTCCCTGCCCTGGAAGAATGGAGCCAAAATGAGGATGGAGGAGGGGGATAGGAGCAGAAAAGTCGGAAATACAAGACATGAGACCCACAACTTCCCAGAGTTGGGGGTTCTGGTCACCAAAGACCTCAGTTTAAGCCCAACTTCTGACCCAGTTTATATGGGCAGGCACTCTGGAAGGAGTTAGGCCTAGGAGCTGGGGATCTGACATAATTGTCACATCTGTACTGGAAGCTCTGGTGGCATAGTGCCTAAGGCATTTGACTGCTAACCAGAAGGCTGGCAGTTCAAACCCACCAGCCACTCCTTGGAAGGAAGATGGAGTCTACCTCCGTAGTGATACTGCCTTGGAAACCCAAGGAGGGGTCACTACAAGTCGGAATCGACTCAATGGCAATGAGTTTGCAGTTTCTTTAGTTTTGCTTGAACAGGAAGTTGGCCCCTTCCAGCTCTCACAGCTATGAGTTCTACTCACACCTTGCCCTGACTGCAGCCATTAGCATTCTTCAGGCAGCAAATCACCCCAGGTGCCCCCAAACTTAGCTCCTCTCAGAGCTATGAACTGGAAATCCACCTCTTAGAGAAAGGAAAGCTGTAATCACAGTCTCTGATGCCAGGTTCCCAGCAGACCCCATTAATGCCTTGTCAGGGAGCAAGGAGAGGGGTTAGGGTCACCAAGGTGCCCTTTGAAATGGACACCTGCCAGCTCAGGCCCCTCAGGCCTCATCCTCTCCTTCCTGAGGCTCCAGCTCCTGACCTCCCTCCCCAAAGTTCAATCTTTTTGCCTCTGTAAATGGCTTTTAAGTTTCTCACCCAGCCTCTCATTTCTTTCAGTTTAATTATTGAGGAGTCCTCTTGTCGCCAGCCTGGAACATTAACGCTGTTAAAAGGGACCCAGGGAACACAGACCACAGCTGTTGTCTCCCTCTGGCTCTTTCCTCATCTCCCCTCACCTTCCACCCTTCCCATCCCTTTCCTTATAGGCGCCTCTCCTTCCCTCCTTTCTTCCCCATGGATCCTTCTCACTTCCCCCCTCCCCAGTCCTGCCTCCCTGCTTTAGGTACAGCTTGGAGGACTTCTGACCCCCTGCCCCAGCCCACTCCATCCCTCTGGTCTGAGGAGGCGCAGACAACACTGAGGCTATGGCCAAGTTTTAGTATTTGTCCAAGTAAGCAGAAGATGAGGACCACCTGTGAGCCCCTGGGCTGTTAAGGCACTTGGACCCAGCACTGCCTATCCCCCAAACTACCCAATCCTGGGAGAGGTATAGCACAGAAGTCACATCCATCCCTCTGGTCTGGGGCACTAAGCACCTCACCCCAAAGTAAAAAACCAAACTTACTGCCATCCAGTCGACTCATAGCCAGGCGGTATCTCTATGAAAGTAGATTGCCCAGTCGTTCTTCCAGGGAGTGGCTGGTAAGTTTGAACCGCCAGCCTTCTGGTTAGCAGTCAAATGCCTGAGGCACTATGCCACCAGAACCCCAAAGTATATATGCTTCTAAGAACATGCTTTAAGGTCCAAGGCTGACAGTGACCATCTTTGGAACATTTGCTGTGTGCCAACGGAAGGGTCCTTCTCAGCCCCTGTGATCCTCTCCACCTCCCTCTGAAGTGGGCATTACTTTCCTCTGGGAGATGCGGGTGTGGACCATGACTGATGTCATAGACCCAAGGTTTTATAGCTTTGGTGGCACAGTGCCTAAAGCATTTGACTACCAACCAGGGGGTTATTGGTTCAAACCCATCAACTGCTCAGTGGAAGGAGGCAATCTACTTCCATAAAGATTTACTGCCTTGGAAACCCAATGGGGATTGCTGAGTCAGAATTGACTGACTCGATGGCAGTGGGTTTTGGTTTTATCTTTCTATAATACCCAGAATCATAAAAGGTGTCATAAAAAGCTCAGAGAAGGAGAAGGCAGCCGTCCACCAGTGGTCTCGCCTTTTTGAGTGTTGGGGAGCTGTGTCCCATGCTGACAGGATAACGAGGAGTCACAGGCTTGTTCCCACTGCTGGCCAGCCCCGGCTGCCTTGCCTCCCAGGACCGGGCCAAACAAGCAGAAGTGATGACTCAGCTGTCTCCAGCCAAGACTTGGCCTTGACTCAGGCGGTCAGAGCCCCAGGTTCCCCTGCTCCTCTTCCCCTCTGAGTTGCCACTCCTCACCACAAATGGAGCTGGATGGGAGGACTGGGCCAGTTTACTCCTTCCCAAACTGTCCCCTCCAGGGAACCCTGACAGATGACCAGAAGCAAACACAGGCCTCAGGGATTGTTCAAATTGTTCACTGCGAGGGAGAAATTTCCTTCAGGTCTTCCACTTCATCCTTCATAACGCATCCATTTGTCTTAAAATTAAAATAGTGTTTTTATCCAGGTCATCAGGTAAAACCAATGCTCCAGCAAGAAGCCCTTTATGTGAGAACCACATGGCACGTGCACTCCACAGACTGGGAAGCCCAAGACCAGCCCAGACACTGTAATAGGATCATTCTAGCCTTCCTGCCCCCCACCTCAGCCCAGCTTCCTCTCCTTCCATCACCACCTCCCCAACCCTCCCACCACAAAACTTGAATAAACCTCCTTCTCCATTCCTCCCCCTTCCACCTCAGCCCCAAATACAGACTCATCTTGGGAGTTAGGCTTATAGATTCCAGAAAGGGCCTAGGTGACGGGGACCCTGCCTCAGCTCTTCCTACTCTGCACAGAGCCAAACAGCCTCTCTCAATCCACCCCATAACTCAGGAGACTTTGAGGGGAGAGGGCTGCTCCAGAGGCTGAGAAATGACACCAGGGCAGGTGAGAAGGAAGCTCAGAAGCTTCCTTGATGCATCCCTTCTTCTCTCTCTCTCCCCCTCTCTCTTTCCCTCTCTCTCTCTCTCTTCCTCTCTCTCTCTCTCTCTCTCTCCTCTCTCCAACTCTTTCTCTCTGTGTGTCTCTCTCTCCCCCCTCCCTCTCTCTCTCCTTCTCTGTCTTCCTCTCTCTCTCTCTCTCTCTCTCTCTCTCTCACACACACACACACACACACACACACAGAGCAAACAAGGCAGGCTCGAGAGAGGAGCGGGCACATAATTATTGGTAAAATGCTTGTAATGTTTTTCTCTCTACCCAGTAGCTTTCAGTTGTTTTAGCAGCTTAGCAAAGCACTTGGCTCCAATTGAATTGCAAATCAGCAGCTCTTGCCCCAGGAAGAGAGGAAGGGAGGCGGCAAGGAGGGGGCAGGGAAGGATTCCAGAAGGGAAGGGAGAAAGGTATGCAGGAAGGAGAGCAGAAGGGAGGAAATAAGAGAGGGAGGCTTGGGCTCAGTCACCAGAAACAGGACTGCCTGCTCCCTCCAGGCCTGTTTTCCCATCCTCATCTCCATTCCCTGCAGGTTTAGGAGCCCTACACACTCCGCCTGAAAAAAAATCAGGACACATCTTCTAACCATAATTTTAGGGTAACGCGGGAAAGCCACGTGGAGCTTCCTCAAGCACCCAAAAGAAAAATATATCTTTCTTGGGAATTGCAATTACTTGAAAACAATGTCAAAACAAAAGTCTTTCTTTTTCTCCCTGGCAATCTCCAACGTCCACATGCCCATTCTCTCTCTGTCTACCTTTTGATACATCTGTTTGCCTGTCTCCTCCCTTCTGTTCTCCAGCACTTCCCTGTCTCTCAGCCAGATTCAGAATTCCCAGGAGAAGGACAGAATTGGTCACAGAGCTCCTGGTGGCAACAGGTGCTGTTTCAGCACCATGGTCAGCAGTACCGAGCTACCCTGCACTGCCCCCCACACATATCTTCACTCTGCTGTGCCCACGCTCTAACCAGGGGACCATCCCAAATTCTCAAACGCTTCCTCCAGAGAAAAACTCACTGCCTGGAGTCTGGAAGAGAAGAGGAGGAAGGAGCTGTCTAGGCCTGATGGTGGAAGAACACACATGAAGCCAATTGGCCAGGCACTAACCTTGAAGAGGCGAAGGATGTTGGCCACCATGATGGAGACTGAGCTCCCTGAAGCACCGATGACCCCCACCACACGCTCCGGCTTGGTGATGATGGGTGGGCCGCCACTGCCACAGCGGACCTCTGTGCCATCCTTCTCGATGAGCGCCTGCACGAAGGTCAGTGACTGCTCCAGGGCATGGGTATCCCTGGAGCAGGTGTCCAGGATGCGGGCGCCCAGCGTGATGTTGGGCAGCAGGTCCGGGTCATTGTTGATGCGATCCAGAGCAAAGAGCATGGCCTCCAGGCGGTGAATGCCCTTTTCCTTCTTGAGCTCTCCGCAGGCCTTGCCCTCAGAGCCCCGGCCGTGCACGGGGAACAGGCCGCCCAGTGTGATGTCCCCATCTATGCGGATGGAGTTCATGTGGGGGTGGCCCTTGGGCTTCCCCAGGGATGAAGGCACCCAGGGGCCATAAAGGCTGAGGAGCAGGCAAAGGGGCAGCCGGGCCCACCACCAGCCGCGGCCTCTCTTTCCAGGCATCTCCAAAATGCCTAATGACCCATGAATGGCAGGCCCCACTCCTAGCCCTCACAGGCCCCTGGCTGCACAGCCTGGGTGGGCCTGGATAGCGTGGTCCCCACGAGTCTCTCCAGGGCAGCTTCAGCAGCAAGGTGGCTGAGGGCGGCCAACAAAGTAAACCATGCTGAGGTGCTCTCGCACTGCCTCCTCGTTGCAGGGCAATGCTCAGTTGTCTGCACAGTCCATGGCCACAGGCAGGGAGAGTGGCTGGGGTGGCAGCAAAGCTCTGGTCTTCGTCCCCAGGTTCTGCAGGCCAGCTCTTGGTGGATGACTGTGGAACGACACGTACTCCTAGCTTTCCATATCTTGGCATCAAGGAGAAAACAGCTCCAATCCTCTTCTCCTATCAACCTTAGAAGGGAGAGAGAGAGAGTATCAAACAGAAGCCCAAAGAAGACATTAGCTATTTTGATCTCTCATCAGGAGACTGAGAGGGGGAAATGCTTCAGGTTATCTCCAAAGACAGCACAAATCTCCTCAATTTGGTTTCACCTAGCTGCTGCTCAACTCTGGTTTAAATGGGAGCACTTAAGGCAGCAATTAGGTCACATCTAAAGTTTGAAGACTTCTTTAGGTCTATACCCACTGCCATCAGAAGCCCAATGGCATTAGAAAGGACACTCCCCAGGGAACAGTCTCAAAGTGGCTTGGGAGAAAGAGAGACCTTCATCAACACTCACCCACATGAAAGTGTAGTAAGAAACCCATGCCATTGGGCTCATCACTGAGGCACAGGGGTTATAAACCCATTTTAGAGATAAGGAAACAGAGGCCTTGAGCAAGAAAACATTTGCCCAAGTCACAAACACAGCCAGCAGCAGAATGCCAACTAGAACCCAGGTTTCCCAGGTCCCAGCCCTGGAACCAGAGATGCTTTGGCTCTCAGGGACTATGAGATGAGGAAGGCCAAAAAGGGCCCCTCAAAAAGAAATCAGTCTGAGAGGCTGTGGTTCCCAATATCAGGCCATGCTGGGGACTGATCACTCTAAAAACCAAGGGAAGGCTAGGGAGAAGATGGTGCTGTTGAGGTTGGAGATTTTCTTCCCAGCTCAAGTGGTACTGGGTGGACCTTCCCCTTTCCCATTTCAACTTCAGCTGTCCAAATACGCCAGGCAGAAGGTACATCTAACGTCTCCTCAGTAAGGAGCAAGCTTCCTTGTCTCCTGCTAGTCTTCCCTCTCTCCCTCTCCTCTTTCTGACTTTCTTTCTCTCTCAGTTTCTAGCTTGCTTTTTCTCTCCCCCTGCACTTCCTCCCTCTGAGAGTGGGGCTCTCGGGTTACAGCCTGAGCTACCACACATTATCATGATCATAGTCATTATTATTGTGATTGTGATTAAATATTTATCTGCAAGGGTAGAGGAGAGAACACCAGCTCTTCCTCATTCTCACTGCTAATTTGGGCTAATTTCCCCTGGGGGTTCCTTCCCTCCCCCTGGCCTCTCTGCTCAAAGCCAGCGGCCTTCCTCCCCTCAATTTGGGAGGCCACAGGGAGAAGGGCTGGAGGCTGAGTCAGGGCTTGGCTGGAGGGCCCATTCCAAGGCTACCTTCCCTAGGGATTTGAAAGCTGCAAGCCATTTGCCCCTTCTATGCCTCAGTTTCCCCAGCCAGTTGAAATAGGGGTTTGAGTTAGGATTTGGTTAGACCTGGTGCCTCCATCAAAGCCAAGTGGGGGTCTCAGAGCCTCCCCTTCATCACCTTTAATTCTCCCAACAGAGGTTCTAACTGCTATTGGAGCCCCTGGTCCCTCCTCCTCAAGGAAGAGGAAAAGATTCAGCCCTCAGGAGTCCAGCCTCAGCTCCTGGGCTACATCTTATTCATCTCATCAAAACGCTTCCTTAGCCCCTCAGAGACCAAAAACATGGCTACTAGTTCTCCTTAGCCCCATTCTGCAGTAGCTCAGAGATGGCACATAACTCTTCCAAAGTCACACAGCAAGTCAAGATGGGTCCAAGTAAGCCAGGCACCAGTCACACTGAGGTAATCCCAAAGGGGGCCTATAAGGAAACTTTCTGTAGAAGGAGGTCATACCACCACCCTCACCTCTGAAGCTAGGAGCCAGTGCTTTGGGGAAGGCTTTAAGAGCTGTTAAAATACAAGGTGTAGGGGAAACTGCCTTCATCTGTGTGGAACTGTCATCATATCATCCTGTGAATGAGTTTATCAGATCTTTCCAAGAAAGTGCTGTAAACAATTAACCCATTCAATTGCTAACCAAAAGGTTGGAGGCTTGAGTCCACCCACAGAGAGCCCAGAAGAAAGGCCTCACAATCTACTTCCGGAAAATCAGCCATTGGAAACTCTGTGGAGCACAGTCCTACCCTGACACACATAGGGTCGTCCTGAGTCTGAATCAGCCTGATGGCAACTAGCTTTGGGCTTCCCTGTCCCCCAGCCCCACCCCATATGGCTGTGGGAAGAGATGACCAGGGGCACAAGGTCCCGATGCCAGTACCAGACAAGACAGAAAAGAGAAACTGAAGAAGCCATAGACTAATCTCACAGCCCCGTCATGGCCTTGCTGAAGGTGAGGCAGGCACACTTCCTCCCTAGCCCTCAGTTTCAGAATCTGTCAAATGGACTTGTTGTTGTTGTTATGTGCCGTCGAGTCGGATGGATAGGCAGAAGTAAAATCCAGTCTAGGGGCCTTCAGGGGCATTTGGAAATGCTTAAAGACATTTTTATTTGCCACAAGATGGGGGAGCCACCTACTAGCCTGTGTCTAGGGAGGGGTCAGGAATGCTAAACAGCCTGCCCATCAAAACGCTGTCCTGTCCAAATGCCAATAGTGCCTAGTCCATGAAGAAATAACAGCAAGTAACAATATATTATTATCTGCTTGTTCTAAGTGCTCTCCTTACATTTTCTCATGGACTCCTCACTTCCCTATGAGGTAGGTGGTATTTTCATCCTGAGCTCCAAGATGAGGAAGCTGAGGCACTGAGCAAGTGAATGATATATTGCCCGGGGCTTGCAGCTTGTACGGCTGCCTGGGCCTCTGATCTCTCCAGAATCAGACCAGAGGGTCTCTCAGGCCCTGCCCAGTTCTAACATCCTGTGAATTCCTGATTGGTTTCCATAAATTTCAAAGGGAGGGATTTCTGGCATCAAGACAGGCTGTGTGCACCCAAGGATACAGCAGTGGAGATACAGGCCAGGAGTCCTGTGCCCAGCAGCTTCCAACAGTCCAGTTCTGCTCAGCTTCCAGATCCTTCACGGGCACTCCACACTGGCTTCTCCTTCAGGCCTGACACGTCTGGGCTGAGAACGTGAGTGCATGTACAAACACACACACACACACATACACAAGGAAGGATAGAGGCTACATAGAGAAAGCCTCATGAAGGAGAAACCTGAAGGATTAGAATGGAGAGGCCAAGGACCCAGCCTTGATCAAGCTAGTCAGATCCCACCTGAAGCCCAGCTCCTGGCCACAGGGGTCCCACCCCATCCCTTAGTCCTACCAGGCCTGCCTTTTCTGAGCTTCTCCAAAGAGCTGGGCACACTGCCGCCTCTTTTAGCTTCCCCTCCTTCCTTTGATCGTGTAACAGGAATAAGGGGGAAAGTAAAAATACCCAGAGAATGAAAGAAGCCTCTAGGAGCAGAGCTGGGAGTGGGTTGGGAACAAGAGCCAGGGTCTATCTATCTTCCCTTCCTCCCACCAGGCCTGCCTCCCTCTGCAAGGGTAGGAAGGGGCTGGTGAGGGAGGGGACAGAGGCTGGGGTACCCTCCTCAAAGTTCCTTCGCGAGCCCTGGACCCCCCACCAAATTCCAAAATAGCCAGGAAAGCTCAAACCTAGAACCAACCAAAAAAAAAAAACCTCACTGCCCTCGAGTTGTTTTCGACTCATAGTGACCCCTCCTTGGGTTTCTGAGGTATCTCTACAGAAGTAGATTGCCCAGTCTTCCTTCTGAGGAGTGGCTGGTGGGTTCGAACTGCCAGCCTTCTGGTTAGCAGTCAAATGCCTTAGGCACTACACCACTAGAGTTGCGGGGGAAGTGACAACATTCCAAAAGACTGAGGCTCTGGCCAGTGCCCACCAGCCCCAGCTGGCTCTCGGCTACCTTTTCTTCTCTCTCCCCCTCTTTCCCTTCTCCCTTTCCCTTCACTCTCTTCCTTTCTGGCTCCCTCTGCCTTCACTCTCTCTCTCCTGGTCCTGCTCCTCCTCTCCTCTGATTCCAGTCTTCCCTTCCCTCTCTGCCCCCTGCCTTGGATTCTATGGCTCAAGGGAGGACGGGACCAGGCAGGGAAGGATGAAGGCCACGAAGCAGTAGGCATAAGAAGTGGAAGGGAGAGGGTTCATCATCTGCACACAGCAATAGTTCACTGGTCAATAGATTTTTCCAGAACATTCTCTTCAGTGAGCAAGGCTGTGAGGAGAACTGGGGGTACAATTGAAAGAGCACCCTTTCCCCACCCAAGCCCAACCACTCTTGGGAAACTTGAGCTAAAGATTTTTGTTAGTGTCCTGATTGGAGGGGATCCCCCACCACTCTAGCCAAGGTCATCTCTGCTATCTGATCCATGAAGGCCTACGTGGAAAGACTCCCCAAATCTGCCTCAGTGACCCATTCCCAGTCTTAACAGTCAGGAATGCCCTGCTTTTCTCCTGTTCAACTTAAATTCCTCCCTCTGCAACCAGGGCAGAGCCAGAAAAAACCACAAACCACAAATCAACAACCAGATCCAAAGAAAACAACAAAGATTTACTAAACCCCAAAATATTTTTTACTGAGCTTCTTATTATTACCCCAAAACTAAGGAAACAAAAGAAAACCTAAACACCAAAATAGAGGGTAGAGTCAGGTGGGAGGCCCCTGTACTTTGCTCCCAGCTGTCAAGATCATAAGGAGAGCTGATGTTCTGTGGGTCAGTTCACGTAAGAGGGAGGCTGGGGGACTCTCGGGCTCCCAGCTCTTTGTCAGGCAAGACCCCAGGGTTCAGGAAGAGAGCCTGGCCCAGAGAGAGAGCGAGCCTGCCCAAGATTAGCCAGCAATCTGAGGCACAGGCGCCTAGGCCTGCCCCAGCTCCCCTGTCTCCTGCCTTCCAGTAGTCAGGCCTCTCACCCACTAGAGGGGGCCAATCCTCTCAGCTCACAACTTTTTCCATGACTCCCTCTAGCACGGATTTCTTCTCCATTCACCTTTGCCTCCAGTAGGCCCAGCCCTTTCCAGGTGCTCAAAAATGCTGGGAAAATTATGAATGATGTTTTCAATCTCTGAGCTGTTTAGAAGCCTCATCACCCACATCTCACATCTCCACAGAAGGAAAGGAGGAGCCGCAGCTCCACTCCCCCAAAGGGGAAGGTGAGGGAGAGCTTGAGGCCTCTCCTCATGCTTCCTACAAGAGGAA